CCAACCTTACTGTGTGCTTGTGAAACATGGACCACTTATAAACGCCATCTCCAACTCCTTGAAAGATTCCATCAACAGTGTCTCCAGAAATTTTTACACATCACATGGGAAGACAGGCAGACTAATGCCAATGTACTGGAAGAAACAAAGATCACTAGTGTCAAAGCGATGATTCTTCAACATCAACTTCATTGGATTGGTCATATTGTGCAGATGCCTGATTATCGTCTTCCAAAGCAACTACTCGATTCCGAACTTAAAAAATGGAAAGCGTAATGCTGGTGGTCAACAAAAGAGGTTTAAAGACTCTCTCAAGGTAAATCTAAGAAAATGTGGTATAAACACCGACAACTGGGAAACACTGGCCTGCGAGTGCTCCAGTTGGAGAACAGCCTTTACCAAAGGTGTCATGGGCTTTGAAGACGCTCGAACTCAGGACAAAAGGGAGAAACGTGCTAAGAGGAAGGCACGCTTGGCAAACCCTCACCATGATCAACTCCTGCCCAGAAACCTATGTCTCCACTGTGGAAGGATGTGTGGATCCAGAATTGGCCTCCACAGTCACTTACAGACTCACTGTTAAAGACTGTGTTCATGGAACACAATCTTATTTGGCTACGAGTGATCGCCAAAGAAGAAAGAAGCAGCAGCAATGAAAAGCATGTGAGAAGGAACACCTTAATAGGGCTAATGCCTGATCTTAATCCCATTAAAGCCGTAAACAGAGACTTCCATATAGATTCTCTTTAGCATCTCACTCCGCCTCTTAGGGGCACTTACAAGCTTTAAAAGGGAAAGGCTGTTGCTGAAACCTCAGCGGATCATATTCGACTGTGGTATTTGCATCCACAGGAAAGCAAATTATCTCCTGGATCCGTTCCCAGGCCCTCTGCTATGTCAATAACTTTCCCTCAATTGCCTTTCACTTAAAATGAAAATGGCATGAATAAGAGGCTGGAATCCCTCTTGACAGGGATTTGTTGGGGGCTCTTCCCCAACCCAGACGAGGCTATTTCCAATAATCGCTATGCTATTTTAAAAGACGGCTAAAAACCGTTCAGAGGAGCGCTCACAGTGAGTAATGCCGCTCATTGATCAAAGGACATTTCACATACACTTATAGACTGTTCGGGTTTTTTCCTGCGTTCTGATCAGTGAAAAGCAGTTTAGAACGGTTTTTGGCATATGAAGTCAGAATGAATTTGACTCTACATACCTCCTATGGGCCTGGCGTGGGTCTGCTACATCCTTTCATCTTAAGTCTTCTTTTCTCATTCATTGAGTTAGAGGGCTTTCAGAATAGAAAGATCCTGGCAATCGTCTAGCCCAGTTTCCCCCAGACTATGAGCCCAATGCAAACTAGTAAGTTGAACGAGAAAAATTTAGTGGCATAAATGCTCTCAAGGGGCTCAAGGAACCCATCTGCAAAAGGAGACTTGGGGCAGATCCACACTTTACATTTAAAGCACATTCCATGCACATTTCAACCACATTTTAGTAGTAGTAGTAGTAGTATACTGCCCTATACCCGCAGTCTCAGGGTTGTTACAACCTAAAATCACAATATAAAAAGACAAAATATATAATAAAAATAAAAACGATAACACCCCCCAACATGTTTTTAAAGGGCATTGGATGTCAGTCAGCCAAAGGCCTAGTTAAAGAGGAATGTTTTTGCCAGGCGCCTAAAGATGTCCAATGAAGGCGCCAGGTGAACCTCCTAGGCATTCCGCAAATGGGGAGCCACTGCAGGAAAGGCCCTGTTCTCATGCTGCCACCCTCCAGACCTCTTGTGGAGGAGGCACACGAAGAAGGGCCTCAGAAGGTGTTTTCAGGGTCAGGGTAGGTTCATATGGAAAGCACATGATTCCAGAAAGAGAGAGAGAGAGAGAGTTTTTTGAGGGTGCTGGGGAGAGTAGCCCTATAGGGCTAAATTGCAGCTCCCAGGATTCTTTGGAAGGAAATCACATGATTGAAACGTAGATTGAATATGCTTTAAATATACAGTGTGGATCTGCCCTGGGTCTACTGTTTATATATTGTCACAGTTCACTCCTCTGGTTTGTCTCCTCTCAATTAGCATTAGCTAGGGATGAGTAATGATGCAGAAGGTCTGAATGGCATGACTGGATTATGCAAGGATTTCTGTCCTCAGAGGACGATACCCACTACCTATCAGCACAAGTCATTTTACTAGGCTTGCCTCCTTCTAAGCAGGAAGGAGGAGGATGGGTGTTACAAACCAGAAGCGAGTGACACAGCGACACATCAGTTGCCACCCTCCTATGTGAGAAAGCCCTAATGGGCTTAGCCTGGTTGCTCTGACAGTACCAGATAGCAGCAGTGCCCTGATTAGCACTGGGACATCCTAGAGTGTTAGTACCTACAATGCCCCAGTGGGAAATTTAAATGGTTGCAGTGACGTAGCGTGGTTTGCCAGCACCCCGGGGCAAGGCAAGTATGACGCCACCTCTGCAGCGATGAGGTTTCCTTCATAGTCGACCCCCTGCAATTTAAAATCACCTTCCTGTTGTTTTTTTTAAAAAAATCAGTGCATTTAATTCAGCATTGTTAAGTCATGAAAGAACTGAAGAAACCCACAAACCCACACACAAATTTGCTACGCCACATGCCAGCTGGGACAAGGTCTAGGCTGGCTTAGCTGACGGACCCCATTATGTGGGGGGAGTAAGATTCCAAGCAGGAAAGCGAAAGCTGAACAAGCCCACCTCACTGGATAGCAGTTGACGTTGGTGTCAAGCGTCACGTCTCAAGGGCTGCCACAAAGGCCCAGACAAGAAGAACGTATTGGGATTGGTAAACTGAGGAACCAAATCAGAATGCATCTTGCAAAACATGAAACTCAGCTAGTTCCTGAAAGTAATATGGCATCTTGAGCCTCATCTGTTACTCAGAGCCGTTCCACTTCCTTGTTGCATCTTGCGTGTTCTCAGATCCTCGGCAGTCTGCATCAGGGTGACAAACAGGGTGGCGTCAAATTTAGCAAGGCTCTTTGGCGGATTCTAAATTTAACGGACAAGGAAGCGGGGTGTCACAAGAGAATCTGTCACCGACCTACACTGAGCCCTCTGAGGCACGGTGTCTCTTTCCCAGCCTTCAAATAAGATGTAGCTGAATTTGGCTGGCTTTTATATGGGTTCTTTTATATGGGTTCCTGATTCTTTCCACCCTATAATTAGCAGCAATCCCTGGGTGTCTGGATGAGTTTCAGCTTCTTGTAGTCCAGGCATAGGCAATCTTTGGCCCTCCAGATGTTTTGGACTACAATTCCCATCATCCCTGACCACTGGTCTTGTTAGCTAGAGATCATGGGATAAGGCCAAAACATCTGGAGGGCCGATGGTTGCCTATGCCTGGCCTATGCATGTTCTAGCCTTATCCTGACTTGAAGCTTTTTGTATGTTTTGAATCATGATTGTATGATGATGATTTTATTATCTTTTCCCCTCGTCTGCTAAACCACTTGGAGGTTGTTGTCATTTTTCTACTATTGAGGCATATACCGTATTTTTTGCTCTATAAGACTCACTTTTTCCCTCCTAAAAAGTAAGGGGAAATGTGTGTGCATCTTATGGAGCGAATGCAGGCTGCGCAGCTATCCCAGAAGCCAGAACAGCAAGAGGGATTGCTGCTTTCACTGCGCAGCGATCCCTCTTGCTGTTCTGGCTTCTGAGATACAGAATATTTTTTTTCTTGATTTCCTCCTCCAAAAACTAGGTGCGTCTTGTGGTCTGGTGCGTCTTATAGAGCGAAAAATACGGTAAATGTTTCGGGGGAAACAAACAAACAAATAAGCAAACAATAAACTAAAATAGTTGCCCTCTCCTTTTCTTCTTAAAGGTAAAGGTAAAGGGACCCCTGACCGTCAGGTCCAGTCGCAGACGACTCTGGAGTTGCGGCGCTCATCTCGCTTTATTGGCCAAGGGAGCCGGCGTACAGCTTCCGGGTTATGTGGCCAGCATGACTAAGCCACTTTTCTCCTTACTGTGTTTTAATTTGTTGTAAGCTGCCCAGAGTGGCTGGGGTAACCCAGTCAGATGGGTGAAAATAAATATATTGTCATTATGTTTAGCTATTTATTTATCCTTGGGTCTACAATCAAGAGGCATATAAATGTTTTAGGGAAAACAAACAAATAAACAAGAACTAAACTAAACTAAACTAGTTGCCCTCTCCTTTTCTCCTTAAAAGGTAAAGGTAAAGGGACCCCCGACCCCACGCCGACTCTGGGGTTGCAGCGCTCATCTCGCTTTATTGGCCGAGGGAGCCGGCATACAGCTTCGGTCATGTGGCCAGCATGACTGAGCCGCTTCTGGCGAACCAGAGCAGCACACGGAAACGCCATTTACCTTCCTGCTGGAGCGGTACCTATTTATCTACTTGCACTTTGACGTGCTTTCAAACTGCTAGGTTGGCAGGTGCAGGGACCAAGCAACGGGAGCTCACCCCGTCGCGGGGATTCGAACCGCCGATCTTCTGATCGGCAAGTCCTAGGCTCTGTGGTTTAACCCACCGCGCCACCCACGTCCCAGTCAGATGGCTGAACATATAACTAATAAATATATTGTCATAATAAATATATTGGCGCACTCTCCTTCCTTGGAGTTTTTTAAGAAGAGCTTGGCTGGCCACCTGTCCTGGATGCTCCAGTTGAGAACGCTGCCACTTCAGGGGGTTGGTCTAGATGACCCTTGGGTGTCCCCTTCCACGTCGGGCCCATTGCGAAGATTCCACACTCCACCCCGAGACTCGCCTTCCTCCTCCCTCTTCCTCCTCCTGCCGTCGAACAACCAAAGGGAAGAAGAAGAAGTGAGGGCAACTCCGCTTGAGGGCAAGAGGTGGCGGCTTCATCGGCGGCCGCTGGGCTTGCGCGAACTCACATCTCCCCCCTCCCTTCTCCCCCCACCCCCTCCCTCGCCGCCGCTACCCACGCGCATGCTCCGTGGGATGGGACCTGCGAAAATTCTGAAGGATAACAGATTCTAAAATGCCAGGCTGGGCAGAGGCGCGCGCGCAGGCGGACTGAGCGGCGGCGGCGGCGCCAGGCAGCCTCGCCATCCTCGCCGGGCCGCGCCAGCGAGCGAGGGCCGCCCTCCGTCAGCCGCGATGCCGCTCGGGCGGAGGCAGCTGCCGGAGCCCCGCTGAAGGGGACCGCAGCCACCATGGGCGAGAGGTCCCCGCCTCCGGCTGGCCGGCGGACCCGGCTGGTCTCCTCGCTGGTGCTGGGGCAGCGCGCCTGCGAGGTCGCCCTGGACCCGGAGAGAGGCGCCTTGGAGTGGACGGAGCAGCCGCAGCCGCGCGGGGGGAGAGGTGAGGACGCTTTGGGGGGGCGAGGGGGCTCCGAGCCATGTGCAGAGTGCAGCCGCCTCACTCCTCACCTCCAAGACGCTGCTGCTTTCCTCTTCCCTTTTCAAGTTAAGGCGTGGTGGCGCTTTCGGAATCAGGGCTCCGAGCCATGTGCAGAGTGCCGCTGCCAGCCCACCACCAGCTAGCAACTGCCACTTCCCCCCTTAGGGCAACAACAACAAAAATAACCTCGGGTGTTTTTCAGGGTTCTGAGCCATGTGCAGAGTGCCGCTCTCTCCCTCCCGGTGATCAAGACACTGCCGTTTCCCGTGGTGGTGGTGCTTTCGGGATCAGAGCTCCGAGCCATGTGCAGAGTGCCGCTACCAGCCCACCACCAGCTAGGAACTGCCACTTTCCCCCTTAGGGCAACAACAACAGAAAGAACCTCGGGTGTTTTTCAGGGCTCCGAGCCATGTGCAGAGTGCCGCTCTCTCCCTCCCGGTGCTCAAGACACTGCCGGTTTCCCCTCTTTTCAAGTCAAGGTGCTTTCGGAATCAGGGCTCCGGGCCATGTGCAGAGTGTCGCCCCCTCCCTCCCCACCTCCAGGACACTGCCACTTCCCTCCCCTTTTCAAGTTAAGCTATGGTTGTGGTGGTAGTGATGCTTTCGGAATCAAGGCTCCAGGCCATGTGCAGAGTGCCGTTCCCAGCCCACCACCAGCTAGGAACTGCCGCTTTCTCCCTTAGGGCAAAAAAAGCCTCTGGTGTTTTTCAGGGCTCTGAGCCATGTGCAGAGTGTCACTCACCCCCACCACTAAGGAATTGCCACTTCTCCCTTAGGTGAAAAAACAACAACAAGGGTGACTTTCAGAGGAACTTCTGGGCCCTCCCAGTTAAACACTGGTTGTTGTTGATTATGGTTGTTAAGTTGTTGTTGTTTTAAATTACATTTATACCCTGCCTCTGTCCTGCCGGGCGCCGTTGGGCAAGGTGCTGCCGCCAAAAACCACAACCCAAAAGGCAATCGCTTTGTGTCCTCCGACGTTGTTGGGCTACAACCTCCCACCCTTCCTACCAAGCGTGGCCAGGGATGATGGGAGTTGTAGTCCATGGACATCTGGAGGGCCCAAGGCTGGGCAAGACTTTGAAGGCCATTGGGGAGCGCTGAGGATGGTTGGGAGCAGGGCAAGGGCTTCAGATGGCCTATTGCCGCAGCACAGGACTGGTCGTTGTGCAAATATATGGGGGAAATATTAAGAAATCCCCATATGCTTGGTTCACAAGTAGGATCCCAGGTCTGAAGGCTACTGCCATAGAGCGCTGAGAAACAGCTTTGGTTCGAACCGGTTTGAAACACTGTGCACCAGCTTTCCTGGGCAGTAGGCAGATCCGGCATCACTTAATAACTTTGCTTAGGGGTACAGTGGTACCGCGGGTTACATACGCTTCAGGTTACAGACTCCGCTAACCAAGAAATAGTACCTCGGGTTAAGAACTTTGCTTCAGGATGAGAACAGAAATCGTGCTCTGGCAGTTCGGCGGCAGCAGGAGGCCCCGTTAGCTAAAGTGGTGCTTCAGGTTAAGAACAGTTTCAGGTTAAGTACTGACCTCCGGAACGAATTAAGTACTTAACTCGAGGTACCACTGTATTCCCAATACAGATACCTCTGAAAAATGGTTGAGCTACTTAACTCACACAGAGCCATCTTGTTTGGTGGCCCATGTTAATCAGCATCAGGCAGGGCCGGCCCAAGATATTTTGCCACTTGAGGCGAGCCACAAACTGGCACTCCCCTCCCTGCCAGGGGGGTAGAGATGAGTGAAGATTGACATCAGGAACAAGGTGGGGAATAAAGATCTGCTTTGGGATCTGCTGCCCCTGTGGATCTTGCCGCCTGAGGCAGTCTTCTTGCCTCACCTTGCCTCATGGCTGGGCTGGCGCTGACATAAGGGCACCACTTCCACTGCCCAGTTCAGACTTCTCTTGAAGTTGGGACATGACTTCTCCCAAGCTGTTATTATTCAGGAGCCTGTGCAAGAAACTTCGTTCTCTTCTCATTAGTGTTTGCATCATCTGTCAGCATCACAGCCTGAGAGGTTTCACATTCCTGTTTAATATTTGCTAGTCAGATATGCGGGGAGGAGAGTCTGTGTGAATGAAAGATGTGCTGACGACATCACTGGTTCTAAAAACTGCTATTACAAGTTCAGTGGCTGGCCACAGCTCCCAAGCCTTCTAAGAAAGCCACATGCTTCGTTTTATGTTTTGCCCTTGGCTATGTTTGTATTTTAAATATTTGTAAAGTCTTAGCAGTTTTTTTAAAGAGTGAACACAGAGAGATTTGCACTGCTACGTACAGGGTGTTTGGACAATGGCTAGTAAAAGTTCTTTTACGAATTAACTTAAGCAGCTAATTGTCCCTGTTTGCCCATTACAGTAGGTCAACTTTTTTTAAAAAATGGCCTGGCCTAGTTCAATGTCAGTTCTACATGCTGCACATCAGAACTGTAGTCTGTTGAGAGCCTGTTCGCACAATGCAGTTTTTGACCACACAATAAATACAGTTTTTGACCTGGCATATGTTCGTATGTACAAACTTGTTTAAACCAGGCATTCGTTCTCAGTACGTTTCCAAGCACAATTCAAAGTGTTGGTGCTGACCTTTAAAGCTCTAAACGGCCTCGGTCCAGTATACCTGAAGGAGCGTCTCCATCTCCATCGTTCTACTCAGACACTGAGGTCCAGTGCTGAGGGCCTTCTGGCGGTTCCCTCGCGACGAGAAGCCAAGTTACAGGGAACCAGGCAGAGGGCCTTCTCGGTAGTGGCACCCACCCTGTGGAACGCCCTCCCACCAGATGTCAAAGAGCAAAACAACTACCAAACTTTTAGAGGACATCTGAAGGCAGCCCTGTTTAGGGAAGCTTTTAATGTTTAATATGTTATTGTATTTTAGTGTTCTGTTGGAAGCTGCCTAGAGTGGCTGGGGAAACCCAGCCAGATGGGTGCGGTATAAATATTAAATTATTATTATTATTATTATTATTATTATTATTATTATTACTATTACTATTATTATAAGCACCCCCGCATCTAGATCAGCGACAAGGAACCTGTGGTCCTCAAGACACTGCTGGACCTCAGCTGACCTCAGCTCCAGCAACGTGGCCAATGGGCACGGATGATGGGACTTGTAGTCCAACAATATATGGAGAGGACAGAAGCCTTCTCCTCAGTTCCTTCCTGCAGCTCTAATCCCATCTACTATTTTCACCCTTGGCCTTAACTCTGAACTCAGATCAAGCAGCGGATCCTGCAGTTAAACTGCAGTTAAACTGGACATACTCAGAAATAAGTCCCATTGAGTTAAATATGCCTTATTCCTGGGTAAGTGTATATCAGGCTGTTCCCTAACTCTCTTGCAGTGCACTGTGGACAGATCTGGGCCATCCTTCCAGGGTGACTCAGGTATGTTTGTTCTGCAAGGGCACGCACAGCAATAATCCTGCATCACATTTAAAGTCCCACACCCTCAGTCTTAGCCATGACAGCCATTGCACAGTCTTCCTGTCATCCCAGAAGCTCAGGAGCAGCTTGCAGGAAGGGCTGGCAGTGGTGCCTTTCTAGATTACGATACACAAGGCAGTTTACAACAACAAAACATAACCTGGCCTCCCAGCACTGCCTCAGTTTACAGCTCCTCTCCACCGGCCACTACTATCACAGCTCTCTTTTTGGGGCTTCTGGCTTCATAACAACCTCTCTTTCCTCTGTGCTGAGGTTAGACCAGGCTTACTCAACCTCGGCCCTCCAGATGTTTTGAGGCTACAATTCCCATCATCCCTGACCACTGGTCCTGCTAGCTAGGGATCATGGGAGTTGTAGGCCAAAAACTTCTGGAGGGCCGAGGTTGAGGAAGCCTGAGTTAGACCAAAGTCAATGTGTTCTTCGTCCGTACCGTGAGCAGAGCCTTTCCTGCTGCAGCCCCAATGCTATGGACACACCTTTCTGGGGGGGGGGGGCGAGTCTGAGCAGCGGCTTCCTTTTCACAGCAAAAACACGTTTGCTTCGAATGGTTTTTGGGTATTAACCACTCCTCTGCCCTATTTTATTGCATCAGTATTTTCCAGTTTTGTATTCTAGTACAGTGGTACCTCGGTTTATGAAATTAATTCGTTCCAGAAGCCTGTTCTTAAACCAAAGCGTTCTTAAACGAGGCATGCTTTCCCTACTGAGGCCTCCCGCCACCAGTGCCCTTCCACTGTTCGGCTTCCGAGGCAAAGTTTGCTAACCGGAACACCTACTTCCAGTTTTGCAGTTTGTTTGCTGAATAGTTCATGAACAGGGCTGTTCATAGACCCAGGTACCGCTGTATTGTTACTGTTTTAGGACCCTCGTACCTATGGGACCGCCTGTCCTGGTATGTCCCATGGAGGACCTTATGGTCTTCAGACAAAAACATCTTGGAGGTCCCAGGCCACAGGGAGGTTAGGCTGGCTTCAACCAGAGCCAGGGCTTTTTCTGCCGTGGCCCCAATCTGGTGGAACGCACTGTCATGAGAGACTAGGGCCCTGCGGGACTTGACATCTTTCCGCAGGGCCTGCAAGACAGAGCTGTTCCGCCTGGCCTTTGGCGAAGGCACAGTCTGACCCCCTCCTTTGGTAATCCTCATAGAACTCTAGCCCAATGGTTGCCATCAATTTGATTCTGAATTTTTTTTAGAAAGAGGGAAGGGGGTGTTGAAACGAAGCCGCTAAGCAGCTGATCGGCAAGGGATCAGAGGGAAGATAAGGGACGCTAGCAATAAAGGAGGCTTCCTGGGAGAGGGGAGGTAAAAGCCCATGGATCCTCAGGATTTTTGCATTGGGTCACCCCAAATTCACCGTCAGACCACATAGCATGTCCATGGCTACAGCCTGCACCCAAAAAATCAGGCACCCACTGTTGCGTGGGGCCGCAATGGCACAAAAATGTGGTTACAAAGCACGGATCCACATGGATCCTCAGGATTTTTGCATTGGGCTACC